ACGTAAGCAAAACGAAAGCAGTCGTCAATGTCATTTGATTGTTAAATTGCTAAATTGTTATTCGTGGTTAAATCATTGTCAAAATAGCCAGCAGGCCAGACTGATGATTATGGTTCGACAACAACTTGTTGCATCGTACTGCTTTTGCCGTGACTAACACTGCTTATCTTCAAGGTGATAATCTCTCCCATGTAAACTTCTGCTCGATGAACTCGTGGCATGCACCTTTGCTTGCTTCTTCTCTTCAGCTGTCTGTTTCGTCTTCTCTTGCAAATTGCTTCTTGACTGTTCAGCGCATTGCATGTCATTAATTTGTTGCGAAGTCAAGGGCAAAGATATTGTGTTTCAGTATCTATCCTGAAAAAAATCATTTTTCTTTCACAGTTGATTATTTTGGGATACAATGAAGCGACTCTTGGGACAGAAGCTCATAGCTGGCAAGAGAATTAATTAAGTAAAGGAAAAACGTTTGTTAAAAATAATTTCAATCATAAAATGTTTTGACTGTGATCAACAAATTTTTTTACATTCTATAGTGATAGTAGTTTATATACGCATTTTTATTTGAGGTAGTTATTATAATCAAATTATGAACATTTAAAGGACAATTTGCAGTGCATATTGGAATATTCTGTTTTGACACGTCCTGTTGGTATGCAGATTCTTGAAGAAACATTTCGAAACAATTACTTCGGGCATGTTTCGTAATGAACGCGTGTGCTGGGTAAGGAAATATGAACTAAGATGAATAAGAAAATGTCAGACCGAGAAAACATATTCAGGAGAGTCAAACATTCGAAGAATAACTTGAGAAATTAACATTACTTTAATAATACGGAGTTGTTTTGAATTCACAAAGAGTTCAAACACCGAAAACTTGTGGTCGAGGCGTATTTATTGTTAATGCTTGTTCATGGGTGTAACAGTATCCAGATGTGTCATATCTAAAATATTCTTCAATACTGTCTGGAAAAGTGTGACATGATAAAGGTTGGAAAGTATACTTTCAATGGCATTATGCGGATGCTAACTAGATACAAAACACACATGCTTTAGCAGTAAATAGTCAGCTCCTAATGCTTTAGCAAGTACTCCGTCAACATATGGTTGTGCAGTTGCCCTATCACAAATTTCTCTAGGCCCGGCAGATCTTTCAGTATACTATATGGACGCAACCTTGGCTTTATTACATGTTAGTTAATTCAAATTTGTAGTACATTCTATCTATGCAGTGAATATAGATGTACTTTTCAATTTCATTACAGGTTCTTTTATCTGCTCTGAATTCTCGTTTGATCCACAACACTGAGTGAACTTTATGGGTAGATTTCACCTAAGTAGATCTACTGAAGTTTCGCCTGAATGGTATGAAAAGAGAATCAAAAGCTGTTATATGTAAAACCTCATTGACAAACCAAAGAAAAAAATATTCAGCTGGTATGTCTATGAGTATCAGACAGCGAAATGCCAGATAAACAAGCTTCTTCAGATGTTAAAAATAGCTTCTGGAGTTTTCTCTTTTGTAGAATTATATAAATCTTGATGATGTTATCACTAAATCTGAAACAGAGGTGAGTGGTTGTCTCTGATGTAACTTTTCTTCTTCTTCATTTACTATTGTTTTTTAACACCACGAATGCAGGAATTCGATGTAGGGATTTCATGTAGAGAATATAGCAAAACTTACTCAAATCTGTAAGTAATGTACAATTAATTGTATTATTTACTTGTCCACGTTCATGTATGAAGTCCACATTACATACCTCACCAGTCTAAGAGTGCATGAGAAAGGTTGTAAGACAAATATAAGCCGTTGTTACCAACAGCATTAAGACTCACTTCAAACACACCATTGGATCACGTTCGGTTCAATACTTTACATCCTCTTGGCCCGCTTCTATTGACTTCAAGAGCAGCAAAGAGTCAACTCGGAAGCCGACGACCCCTGTTGGGAGTCGCCCAGCAGATGAACATCAACAGAATCTTGACTTCTATCGAATGGAATCTTGACTCTCCTTTATTCGTTGAAAGATCAGATCATCACTTGGATAATACGATGGCGCAGGGTAAACACAAACTGACCTGATGCCAGGGTGAAAAGACATAGGACGGTAATCGTACAACCCAAAATACGATGATTGTCTTGACAGGCTTTGGATCACGCGATTCATTGTGAGAGAATGACCGCTGTGAATGGACAGGTCGTCCTTGAAGGACATCTGTCCGTAATGACGTATAATATTCTAACTTTGCAGACCATTTTACAGGACCGGTATTGAGACACAAAGGTCTTCGCTCCCGTTTAGTCTTCGTCGGAACCTTCCGTTTCTCTGCTGAGCCGCACTCATGGGGAAAGGTTATCAGTTTTTATGTAGATGTAATCGTGATACATGGGTGGTAATTAACGAAATAGCCAATTTTGGACCGTTCGATTTTGATAAATCGATGTATTAGGTCCAGTATTACATATTTTCTGGTTGTGATACAATTTTTTACGCCAGTTTACCAAAAGACATTCATCTTTGTGGTTCTTCATAGAATCTTCCCAACTACCTTCATGTCTCTGTATCAAGACATGATAAAATACCCTGAAATTCGTCCAGGGGTGCAAGTAAATCTGGCTATCCGAAACAGATACGGAAGCTATACCGCGTGAAATAAAAAGGGGCCCAAGTAAAGCGCAAAAAGGATGGAACCAGGACGCTCCCTTCGACTAAAACAGCATCATCGCCGTCTCTTGGGAAGGAAAGTTCTGCGCTGCTCGATTTGGCATTTCTTCTTCTTCTTCTGAAGGTTTCTTCTCAATACGACAAATGGGAGAGCTCATAAAGGGGATTGGCATAGAGAAATGACGACGGACGATTATGGACGGCGAGTTATCAATACTTTGTGTATCCGAATTTTCTTTCCAGCACTGGAATTTCCGAGAAATAGTCGGCAGAAGCAGGTATTATCGAAATATCAACTCTGCCGCGGCATTCTACAATACACGACGGAACTAGTTTCACTCGGTGTCACAGTTCTCCATCTTTCCTTGCCTTGCAAGTTTCACATCTACCTGCTCCTCTCCTCCAGATCAAACCATAGCGCGTTGCAGGCCAGTCAAGAATAAAATATAATGTGAAATACAAATCTGATGGCCGCCACTGCAACTGTCATGCATAATGCTTTAATATGGCGTATTGCCAATATATGGTTGCATGGTGGGATAGTTATCATTCTCTCCTTCTATAGCTAAGAGGAAAAACATTCATTTCTGTAAAAGTTTTCATTCTATTTTCTCTACGGTTAAATAGATTTAAGTGCAAATCCACAGTTCTCCACAGCCAGTGCAGAAGTTAGGGGAGATTAAAGCTATAGCACAATCTTGGCTTGAAAAAATGCTTTGCTTTTGTCATGGCCTAAATACTTGATCCATTCTTCACTTCCTGGTTGCGCAGATTTCAGCTTCACTTGGGTTCTATTCACCACTTTTAAATGTTTCACATCGGTGCGATTAGTATCTAGTTTTCTTCATTTCAAAATAAAGCAATAACCCCCCAAAAATTGTAACTTTTTTTCACTCATGTTGGCTTTTCAACATTAAGTGCTAGTTGGGACTTGGGTGTGTGTGTGTGAGATTTCCCTCGTTGGTGACCCGATCATAATGTACAGAAATATACACTGGACCTTCAATCGTCCAGTGATTCTGACTCAAATAAAAGTGACCCTAAATGCTTGGTGCATAAATGACGTTCAAGCCTTGAATCTAGCCCAAGAAGGCAAATCAATCACATCTCGCATTAGCCTAATGTCTTATTGACATTGTTATGATTTTAACACAGAGGCATCCACAAATTTATCACCCGTGAACGCTCTACTCAGTAATCGAGAGTTTATCCTCTCCATGTCAATGAAAGAAGTCCCTTCGGACTATATTCAAGATTAATCTATCCATCCATGAGTCTGAAGGAAGAAAGCCGTGCATCATTGCTGCCAGTGAAGCAAATGAAAGAAATTCGAAAACGGAACCTTGAATTTTGTCAAAGTCTCCGATCTCTCCACGCGAAAGCCTGATCAGGCTTCGAGACTAGCGTCAACTGAAGTATCAAAGCAACTGCAAATTTCTATGATCTGCACCCTATATCAAAGCAAGGGTGAAAAAAAAATCCGATTTTTTATTTAAAATAATTTCGAATTGATTAAAATACCTAAAAATACTTGATTTTAACAATGGTTTAATCAATTGTATTAGACTATTTGTACCTTATCAATCTAGAACAGCGTGAACATCATCGGATCCGAGCAATGTGAACAATGTGCCGAGTGTAGTAACAAATAGTTCATGCTTCTAGTAATTAATTATCATCATCGAATCCATCTGCACTATCAAAACCAGACTCCTCGGAACATAGAGTAATTATGGCTAGTGATATTCTGTGAGAACGCCCGTGAGTCTTAATAAACACGAGGTTAGAACTTGATTGAACAAATCTGAATGAATCTAATTTCTATAGCTTCCATTTCAATAATTTCTACACTCAGAACCTCACTGGTTACCTATCTCGCTTGCTATTAAATTTAAAATCACAGAATTCAACAGCGGAATCCGCGACTAATAATAGATTTACTGTGAAACCCTGTTTCATGTCACTAAATGATTAAATTTAAAAATAAAATAAAATAAACAGTTGAAAAGGCAATTAAAAGTTTTTTTCTAAAAAACCCTTTTTATACCTGATTGCAAAAAACCTGATGATGCCAGCCCTGTTTCAAATTGGTTAATGGATGGGGACAACGGGTTGGAACTGTGAGCTTTGGGTACAATTCCACATCAAGCTGTGCCATATTCATCACTAACCACTCATGTTCACTTCTAACTGACTGAGTGAGAGATTTGGAACATGACCTTCCACGTAAGATGTGTCGAGCAGTCGCTTTTTGACATGCTGGGAACGTACCGAGCTAGTTCCGAATGAATAAGTAATGAGGAATGAGTCATGTACGTGGAAGAAAGCAGGAGCTCTGAGCAGCCCTGCGTCCCAAGCAGACCAAAGAAAGTTGAGTGCCGACTCCGAAGCCGAGTTCTCATCGAAATAGAGGCACAGAACTCTGCTCCGGGTGTAGAGCTTGGTGGGAGTTCGAAGCTCGTCGCCGTTGGGAAATGCAAGGGCCTCGAACCGTGGAGGGTCAGAGCTCATGATAAGAGCTCATCAAGAGCTCTGATTCAGCCACCCAGATTACATTTCTCCGAAGGGCGGCGACAGTTCACTTGTAGAGGAAGAATCATCTGTTGACGACAATCCTGGACTGAACTCGTAAACTTTGAAGTTGGACTACGATGCGAAAAATCTTTCGCAGTGGATACGGAAAGCTTCCAAAGCGCTCCACTTCCACGAACAATGGAGCGGTCATGGAGGACAAGCCTTCTACACCAGATGATGCGAACTCCTCCAAATCGCCAGAAGAAAGGGCGAGGGAATTGCTTAAGTTCATCATACAGCCCGAAGATGTGAGTATCTCAAATCCTACAGACAGTATTTCCAACTGCGAGCAATAAGATTCTGCTCACAACGTAGGAATATTAGGTAGCAGTCGCATGATATGGATTTGGTGACTTCACGATAGTGTCAGTAGTAGAACGTGACAAAGAGGCCGACTTGTCACTCGACGTCTTGTTTCTTGCCTACTCTAAAGGACAGTATCAGCAGTAGAACTGAAGTTGTTTCTACTTCATCTCAGCAGAATACTGCGACGGCCGCTACCAAGAAGGACGACAAACTTGACGCTTTCGGAGAGTCGGTTAAAGACAATCTTACTTTTTATGGCTTCATCGGTGATAAAATCGGAGGCCTGGCCAACAATAAGGTACGATCTTCATATCTCGTTTGTAACTAGCATACAATGTCCCTCTCGTATATAACCACGGACTGGTAGAAAGGAATTTCCGGAGAAATGTTTTTAGCACCAAGGTATATCAAATTAAATGGGTATTTCTGGTTATATTCCAACTAGACATAAGACACAATTGTTCATATGATTATATTTAGCCTGGCCCCATTGTTTGGCTGGTGTGCCTTCCACAGCCTCAGAGAGTCTAGATTTGTAACAAATCAGAGTAAATCAAATAAGCTGGATATCTGATACTCATCTCGGTCTTTATAAATAGCTTTGTATAATCATGCAGCGCATGTGTTTATACAGAGAAGTTCGGTCTTTGAATTTACTGTTTGACTCATGTGTATGGGCTGGAACTCAGTGCTGGATTGTTGAGTATAATTGAGCCGCACTAACTTGTTTCTGAGCACACTCGGAATTGCTTCGATTATGGTTGACAGGCAATCGCAACACAGAGCGAGAATAGCGGAAGCTTTGGCACGGAAGCAGGTCGGGAAATATCCAACATCTTGACGGGTTTAGGCTCGGCTCACATCGTAGGAGCAATCTTCCTCGTCGTGGGCCATCTCCTGGATCGTTGGGTGACAATGGGCAAAAATAAAAAAGATCTTGAAAATTACAGGAAAAGTTTGTCGAGGATGGCAAAACATGTCACGAAACTCGAACAACTAGCTTCTAATACCCATGCTGTTGAATTCCTACAAGCCGCATTCGAAAAAATATTCGACCATGCTGCGTTCTGCAATCAAATGATGCACTCCCATTCAAAAAGTTTAGGGAAAAGGTATCAATACATCAAACTCATCTTCAAAGCTACTGTCGCTCCTAAAAAAGTGCTCAGTGTTTTGCTTCAGAAAGATGGCATGTTGTGGGCTTACATGACTGGTGCTGTTGATCCTATACGTAACACCTTCTTAGGACCTGTTTTTGGAGTCTACTTCATGATCGCAAGTGTCAATGGCGGAAAACTAAATGTACTGATGAAGTAGTGTCAGATATGGAGAGTCCGTCCTCTGTCAAGATAGTTAAGATCTGTTCCTACTTGTTGTTAGAGCGAAATTTCTGAGAAAAATGTTCGACGTTGTGGTATTCCACAGGTTTTGTTTTGCTACGAAACATAAAGATAAGATTGCGGAGATGCAGAAAGACATGGATGACATGTATCGCGATCTTATCTTAGCTGCATGGTATGCAGATATACATGGTGAGCAGGACACCAAATTTGAGCCTAGTGAAGACACAGGTGAGATCCACTTATCAAGTCATTTGGGTAAGGAATGTTCCAGATTTCCACCGGTTAGAATTTGGAGACCAGCCACTAATCAGTCTGGAAATTCGGACTCGCAGTTTTGGTTGGAATCGATAAGCTAGTAGAAGACAAAGTCCTGGAGTTGGAACCAAGCGACCAGCGAGTAGTGCGAGCCCTCGTCGTGACTGGACTGCCTGGAGTTGGGAAGAGTTCAGTTGGAGGAAAAATTGCAGAAAGGGTGATAAAGAAATACGGTCATCACGTTTGCATGCTCGACATCACTGTGCTCGACATGCACAGTGAAAGGAAGATTCAAGCTTTGCTGTACAAGAAGCTGTCTCCAACAGGAGTGAAGATGGCGTTCTCCAACGCCGCAGATGGAAGAAAACATCTTCAGAAACTTTTCAGCAAGTTGGAGAAACCTGTTCTGATTTTCTTCGACAATGTTCTGAATTTCACGACCATAGAAGAACTTCTGCCTAAAGACGTGTCAAAACTTCCAGCTGGAAGCTTGATTTTGGTGACGACAACAAATCAACAGGTAATCAATGTACTCGAAGAAAAGGGAGCAAGAACTTCCATATGCGAAGTCCATGGGCTGGAAGAGGAGCAAGCAAGAGACTTGCTGTTGAAGGAGATTTTAGGAGACGTAGATATGAAGCTCCCATCGGATCTGTCGCGCGAGCTGATGCGGTACAAGGAGAAAGAAGAGATGATGCTGAGGAAACTTCTCAGACTTTGTGGGGAATTGCCTCTGGCAATTATGTGCGTCGGGTCCCATATCTCGCGACGGGGCCAGAACTACCTTCGGGATACGGGCCAGAACTACCTTCGGGATACTGGCCACTGGCCACTGGCCACCGACCTTCACAATCCGTCGCTCAAAGAGGCCTACGCTCAGCTCTTTGAGCACAGGGACGTGCAAGAGGGACTCGTGAAGAAGCTCAAAGACGCCGTGCTCCATGCATGCAACAGCCTCTCACAAGGAGACCCCATGGGGACCGGGGAGAATACGCTGGATCAAAGCGTCAATTTCGCCTGCCAGCAGCTCAGTTACAATCCTCTCCTGCAGGAGGCGTTTCTGAGCATCGTCCACCTCCACGTGGGCCGCGACTACTCGGAGGTCGAACTGCTCTGCGGAGCCGAACTGGTGGAGACGCTGAGGCAGCTGTCGCTGGTGAGGCGGCTCGTGTACAAGGACGGAACCTTGAGCCCAATCCTCAATGTGCACCACGTCCTCATCGGCGCGGGTCGCCGGATCGCAAATGTGCAGTTCGAGGGCCGGTGGCTGGTGAGGGAGGACGGTGACGACGATGTTGTCGAGTGCTTCCACAACTATCAGCTCGAAAGGCGTCTTCATCTCCCGGTGAGTACAGAGAGCCACGCACAACGAGATCCCACCTCTGACATGAAGATGTGGATTTGATAAATTTGGATAAATTTCGAATCGCTGTAGGCTCTGGATTGCAGTGTGTGGTGATGATGTTCCCGTTGATGCTCACATGCTGCCGATTTCCGTAACGCGCAGAGGTTCATTAAGCTCGATCACTGCGACATTGATCTGCCGGCTGAAAAGCTCGACTATGTGACCACGGACCTTCGTCACTTCGAGGTGCGGGGCGTGCGGATTATTGGGGATTGTTCTGTACATCCTCGGATGTTGGAGTGTCTTAAGATAGAAAGATGTCCTCTGCCGTTTCTTCTGCATAATCTGCAGAAACTGAAATTTCTTTATCTGGACTTCGAGAATACCACATCGAATCTCGAGTGCATTCAGGTGAGCTCGAGCAAACGCATCTACTCGTCCTTTGAGATTCGGCCTAACGGATGCTTTGACGAAAGAATGTGATTTTCGATCGCCTTTCACTAAATGAAGTTCGTGCGTTGCAGAATATGCCAAGTCTTGCGAAGGTGACGGTGAAGAACTCGACGACCTTGCGATGCCTTGGTTCGGGACTCCCCACATTGTCAGAAGTGAGCATTTTCAAGTGCAGCAACTTCGAAAGCATTGAAGGATTAAATCCTCTGGCTGTTCGGCAACTGGAAATAGCCTCCTGCCCCGAATTCCGTGACTTCCTCAGAGTCGGATTGTTGAGTAAGTTGACAGAATTATATCTGGTAGGCTGTCAGCATTCCGAGTTTCCCGAGGATTTTGAGATTCCATCGGGGGTACAGGACCTGGATTTCTCAAGGAACTACAAATTGACTGTTCAGCCTCGAAACGCACCAGGGAACAAAATTAGAAAACTCAATTTGGGATGTTGCACAAGCCTCACAACTGTCTCAGTTATCGATTTGAAAAGCTTGGAATACCTCGTCCTTGGAGGTTGTTCGAAGCTTGAAAATCTAACACTCTCGGATGAAAATCTCAAGACACTAAAGCATTTGGAAGTCCAGGGATGCGCGAGTTCAAAGCTCAAGCAATCAATTGCTAGCCTGATGAACCGATTCCCTCCGTCATTACGGCTCATTCAACATGACTGGCTTGAGGAGCAAGACGAAGAATGTACAGCACCTACAAGGTGTGAACTATTAACCCGATGCATCAAACTCAATTGGAGAAAACGGAGAACAGTGAAGTTCCGAGGCAGGTGTTTCACATTTCCTCCCAATGGTTACAATCGCAAGAAAGATATGTAGGTTGCGGTTGTTCTTTGTTCAAACTTACTTTTAGCTACAAAAGCTCCATGTTCTCCTTCCCTGAAATTTGATAGGGCCAGTTGATTTGCTGACGTGAGTTTTAATTTAGAATCGGTAGAGAATCATACAAGATCTAAAATTACAGTCATTATTTCCATTTCATCCAGTAGAATTAGCAAAGGATGTAAATAATTTTAAATTATATTGGGTATCAGATTTACAAATTTTGATAGGATAACGCTTTGAATACTTAGATGGTATCATGATTCCAGGGGGTAGAAGACGAAAATACAGTTTGGAACTTTAGCAGTTTTAATGTTTTCATCGTGGCAAGTTAGTCAAGGTTGGGCTGGCTACATCAAAGTCATGATTGTTTTCTATAAAGTGTAATGATTGATGCAAGTGTCTTCGTATGCATGTTTCTAACTTTTTGACCAAAAGACTAAAGTCCACTTTGTTTTCTAGAATAAATCACTCACTTTGAGTCTCAACCATCTCCATAAACCATGAAATTAAGCTTGTTGAGATGAACAAGCTTCTTCAGATGTTAAAAGTAGCTTCTGGAGTTTTCTAGATTCTAGAATAATATCAATCTTGGTGATATTATTACTGAATCTGAAACAGAGGTGAGTGGTTGTCTCTGATCTAACTTTTCTTCTTCGTCATTTACTACTTATTTTTAACACCACGAATGCAGGACCTCGATATAGGGATTCCTTGTAGAGAATATAGCAAAACTTACCCAAATCTGTAAGTACTGTACAATTAATTATATAATTTACTTGTCCACGTTCATATATGAAGTCCACATTACATAGCTCATCACTCTAACAGTGCATGCGAAAGGTTGTGGAAGGAGCGTCAGACAAATATAAGCCGCCGTTACCAATAACATTCAGACTCACTTCAAACACACCATTGGGTCACGTTCGGTTTCCTACTTTACATCCTCTTGGCCCGCTTCTATTGAACTCAAGAGCAGCAAAGACTCAACTCGGAACCAGACAAAAACGGTTGGGACTTGCAAAGCACATGTGTTGTTAATAATTAGTTACCGGGTGTAGTATAGTGATCAGGATTAAGATAGGATTAGATCAGAATAGTTTAGTATAATGTTCTGTTAGATCTCTTGAGTCTTCTTCTTTGGTTGAAGAAGAAGAAGACCCTTCTGGACCATTTTATCCCTTTCCTACTTAAGGGGCCTCTCTCTCTCATCTATCATTGAGTTTAGATTTTACTTTCAACATGGTATCAAAGCGAACTCCTTCGCTATTCTGCCGACGATTAGATATTTGCCGGTCTTGTTCCTTTCAGTAAGCAGATGCCTTTTTGTTAGAAGAGAACTTGTTGTTCTAGGATCTTAGCTAACAATGGACAAAGTTTTGAACTTTTCCGAGTCTATGAAGCTTTCCGGGCGCGACAACTATCTCAATTGGTCTATCCGCCTAAAAACGATTCTTCGCACCAAGGATTGTTGGGATGAGATCATACACCAACCGATTCTACTTCAAAATCTCGATGGCGCTTGTCAGCAAGACATCCGCAAGCGTAGTATCAAAGCTACATCTCTGATTGAGGCCAGTGTACATTCTGACATCTTACCATCTATTTCAGATTTTGAAGACACTCCTGCAGAGCTTTGGACGCATCTTCGTCAACGATATGAATCGCGAAACACGCAACAAAGGCTCATTCTCTCTCACTCATTGTCTTCACTTCAGCTTGTAGAAGGTGCTTCTCTTGAAAAATACCTCCAACAAGTAGACTCTATTGCTGCATAACTCGCCGGCATCGTTCATAGAGTACCGAGCACTGATCTCATACATCACACACTAAAAGGACTACTTGGTAGCTATGGCCCTTTTGTGCATAATTTTTTGGGCGAAATGGAGCGCCAGCCTTCTCCGTCATTTCAGGGCCTCATCAAACGTCTTCAATCCATGCAATACTTCACCGAGGGAAAGACACAATCAGACCTTGAGGCGAATTTCTCTGCTTCCAAACGTCATCACTTCCGTACCCGCTCAAATTATACTTCTCGACCAAATCGTTCTTATGTTACCTCAATGCCACGGGTAGAGTGGAATATGCCACGTTCAGCACGCTGTGACTACTGCAGCAAGGCTAACCATCTTGTTGCTGACTGTCACTTACGAAAATTAGACGAGTCAATTGCACAATTGCAAATTTGTGCATCCAACCTTTGTCACAGCAACCGTGACCAGGTCCACATGGTGGAAGAAGAGGATTGTATGATCCATCTCCAGACTCCAGAAGTTTCTGAAGAACCTCAGGACATAGAAGCAAACTTTACAAGTGACACCTCTCCGATTGTTGATTTTTATCTTGATTCAAGAGCAAGTAGTCATGTCACAGGAGATCGTTCTCTCCTGTCTTCATTTCAATCAGGATCTTCATCAGTAGGAGTGTGTCCTGCCAATGGGGCTTGTCTTTCTGTAGCCGGAAAAGGCACTTTGTGTTTTGACTCTAATAAATCCGTCAAACATGTTCTATACGTTCCTGGGTTAACAAAAATCTATTATCTGTAGGCCGACTCACTGATTCAGGGTATTATGCACTTTTTACACCTTACTCATGTTTTCTTTTAGATGAACAAAATCCAACTAGTGTATTTCTGTACGCAAATAAGGATCCTAGAAGTAGACTGTACAAAGTTAAACCTTTTCATCCTCAGTTGTCTGAACAATCCAGACAACTACTTAGAAAGGTTCATGCAATTTTACGACAGATCAAACCTCCCTACTTTCCTCATTTTGTTGAGATTACTGAAGACACTCCAACTGTTGCAACTGTACCGCCCATCGACGCAATAACTCTTTGGCATCATCGACTTTGTCACTTGAATTTTCAGACGGCACACCACATGTCGGCCAAACGTTTTGTGAAAGGTTTGCCTTACTTACCATCAAGCCGTGAACATAAGTGCATCACTTGTGTTCAGTCCAAGCAACACCGCGTTCACAGGAGTAAAAAACCTGCCAAGAGAAGTACTCCGCCTCTTGAGCTTATTCATACCGACGTGTGTGATTCAGTCGTAACAGGAACTAAGTTTAAGTATATGCTCACTTTTATCGATGATTATTCACGGTACACATGGACCTACTTTCTTTGAGTTAAGAGTGCTACGTTTGATTGCTTCAAATAGTTTGTCACTTTAGTCGAAAATATATTTCCACATAAAGTAGCTGCAATCACTACTCGGGAGAGTGATTGGGACTTCAAAGTCTCAAACTTGCGTTCAAACAGGGGAGTAGAATATTTATCTCAATCTATCAAAACCTACTGTCTCAATAAAGGCATACAACGCCAACTTACCACTGCTCGAACTCCGCATCAAAACGGAGTTGCAGAGCGCAAAAACCGCACGCTGATGGAAGCTGCAAGATGTCTGTTTACTTCTCAGAAGTTTCCTGAACATCTCTGGACTGAGTGCATTCGAGCTGCAAACTATGTACTCAATCAGTGTGAGACTCAAGCTCTGAACTTGACAACACCATTTGAGAAGTTAGATGGCATCCCTCCTGACTTATCTCGACTTTGTGTGATGGAAAGTCTTGCATACGTTCACATCCCAATAGAACAGCACACTAAATTACAAGTGAAGTCTTTTCGCGTTGTCCTATTGGGGTACGACAAGCAGTCACTGGCTTATTGATGTTGGGATCCGCATAACAAGAGCGTAGTTGTATCCGCAGATGTTACTGTATTTGAAACTGTCGCGGGTGATTTTCAGTCAGATAAACCATTTGTGGATATCTTTTTCTCCCTTCTTGATGATGATATTGTACTTCCTATTGTGGCACCGACAGAACAAGAGCATTCTGATCTCACGGCCCCATTGGATATCCATCAACCAGAAAGATCTGAACTTCAAGCACTGCCTACGACTTCTACTACGACGTCTAATGTTGCTGCAACCTTCACTGTCTCAGACATTACTCTTCCACGACAAAACCCTTCAAGGATGCGTCGTTTACCTGCTCGTTATGACGATTATTATGTCTCCGCATCTCATCAACTCAATGTGGTTGAGACAACCAAACCAATCACAGATCAACTTTCATTCCAACAAGCAAAGCTTCATCCTGATTGATGGAAAGCAATGCAAGAGAAATTCGACACTCTCATTACAAATCACATGTGGGAACTTGTTGAACTTCCTGAAGCCAAAAAGGCGTTGACTTCACGTTGGATCTACAAAGCAAAACAAGAGTTAAACCCCACACGGACTAGTTTGAAAGCTAGGCTTGTTGCTCGTGGCTTGGAGCAAACATATGGAGTCGATTACAACGAGACGTTTGCTCATGTGGTTCGTTGGTCTACTCTTTGAGCAATGATAGCATTATCTGTCACTCTTGGTTGAACTTTGCACCACATGGATGTTATCATTGCCTTTCTGAATGGAAAACTAAAAGAACAGATCTACATGCAGCAACCTTGTAATAACCCACTAAAGGCTAAAACTGCAGTATAGTGGTAGAAAGGTCAAACCCACAGGGACAGAGGAACACACAGGGTACAAAGTGTCACGTTTAACAGACTATTGAGGAGTTTGAATTCTCAGGCGACTGTCACTCCCAGAAATACTGCAAGTGTCCACTCGGAGCGCACTCGGAGGTCGCACAGTGCAGCGTAACACACACACACACACACACCTGAAACTACAGAAACACAACCTAGAGAACCGTTAGGACCTCTACTCAAGATTTCAGGGGGAAGGCCTCTCAAGAGTACACTCAGCGAAGCTGCGGGTAGTGACTCCCAACTCCGGCTTTTACAACCCTTCCACTAGCTGTCTGCTAGCGTAGGGAACCCGGTTTGGACTTCCTACTTCGGATCGAAGTCACTCATACGCGGTGAACAACACTCTCAACTCACAAAACACGCAAAGAACACAGGTCCGCACGGAAGGACTCACTTAGAAACGTTCCAGTAACACACCATAACAGTCTATTGAAGAGTTTGAATTCTTAGGCACTTGTCATTCCCAGAAATACTACAGGGGTTACCCTGAAGGCACCTGCTGCAGCGTAACCTGAATTTACAACCAAGGCTTACACGAAGTAGCAAAACTTCACTTTGGCATTCAGGGGAAAAATCCCGAAGGAGTACAATCAGGAACAATCACTCAAAGGTGTAAGGGGGAAAATGTTCAAGTATCTAACTCGTCACTGGCTCTGAGCATCGGCAATCACCCGCAGGTGTAGATCCAAACTACTCAAGTCTCTAACCAATGTACTAGCTCTGAACATTCGGCCGAAGGCCTTCAGCTACACGATGCGGATCGCTAAGGTGTAGTTCCTCTTGCG